ACCAGAATTGCAAGACCCTCGCACATTGCCCGAGCAAAACAATTTTCAATATTCACCAGCAGTCAGAATACTCACACATTGACCAAAACAAAACATTCTTCAGTATGAAATAGCACTCAACGATCAGCATTCACCAATATTCAACACTGCTCAATATTATCCCACATTATTCATGTACGAAACATTCTAACACCTTCACCCGTACCAAACATTCATACCTATTGCGGGTACCGAACATTTTCCACATACGACAGAGCAAAACATTCTCTCACCTTGACCAGTTTTAAACATTCTATAATATTCGCTATCACTAAACAACCACATTCGCATAAACTGTTAAGCATTCGGCGGGAAAACCACTTAAATCAATCCTGAAAGTCCCCGAAAATATTTGCAAACAGCCTCGTGTATTTAGTATCTTAAGGGCTCAATTATAACAATTTTAACATAGCGCAAATTCAATACGGTTGCTAATTCCAGTGTTTTCAGGTACGAAGTACATAAAATGTAATTAATTGTACGCGGTAATGTAATTCAGGGTGAGACGACAATCGAGAGCATTCACATTCAGTTTAATTTGCTAACGACTCGTTATCTTCCCAGTCAATCAGGTCTTGATCGATCGGTGAAGATTGATGTGGTTCAATCACGAATATTGATGCAGATTCCTGCTCTACCGACTACGGCGAAACCCAATTTGGAGTCGACAAATAGGAGGGGCAATGTCGCGGGGCGCAGCACCGATTAAAGAGGAGCATTCTATGCCGATTTGGTGAAGGTCTTTGAAAATTCTGCATACTATAATTTATTGAATCGAATAATCTGCATTGAACGATGTCGAATCTACAGTAGCTGAAGCTGAATCTGCATTAATCGATGTCGAATCGTCATCGATCTACGTCGAATCTTCCTTAATCGATATCTAATCCATATTAATCGATGCCGAATACTAGCTTCTTTTACATCCTACCGTACGAATATAGTAAATTTTCCACAACTGAACGAAAGTTCAAGGAACAATATAAAACAATTTTATTTAATTTAATTCACATTACATACGACGCAGAAATCAAATCCGTACGTGTACAAAATATTTCAGCGTGTGCAAGAAACATACTGTACACATTGTCATGACTCAACAAATTATTAACCTGTATTAGTCTTCTGAATATAATTCAACAGGTTAATCATGGTTTTTACTCACGGCAGTTATTCATTAAAATAATTAAAACATAGAAGCAAACTATGACGTGAGATGAAGTAGACAAAAAAATGAAATAATAATGGATTTTACAGAAAAACACGTTTTTACAAGCGTTTTAATTTATCACCGATAATAACTCTGACAGTGGAAACTTGTGGTTCGTGTTTGTAAAACACTTTGATTTGATTTAGGATTCAAAGTATGGCTTGAAGGATCGAGTTTCAAACTTTATCATAATGAAATTGATAACAAACTTCATCACCTCATCAACAAACTTCAACTCAACAAGTTTATAAACTCATCAACAAGCGTTATCAACACAAACTTTATCAACTCAGGGAAACGTCCAGCTAACATGATAAGAAATAAAAATGTTACGCTTGCGTCATAAATTTCCGAAAATTAAGAAATAATGCCTATAAAATTGCAGAATTATATAAGAAACTCAACCACTAGAAAATAGTGATAGGTATGTGTCAAATTCTTTCTACTCAACTTATTTCATTAATTACGGTTAGTCGACTCACTAATGATATATAAACATAAAATTACAGCAAAAGCAAGATAAGACCTGAAAGCACATGCCAATTATAAAACCAGAGAAGAAAACACTAGCCAAGTAAAATAAAGCTAGGCAGTGAGAGTCGATTCCATATCACATTTAATTCCAACCAATCACAGTTTATTCGCAACGTGAAATTTATTTACACAGCGGAAGCGAGCAAGATGTGTAAAAAATTAAAATAAAGTTCTTATTTAACTAGGGGCCGTAAAGATAAATTATATTTTAGCCTCAATCACCGTAATCTTGAAATTGAATAACTTTCCAGGCACTTATCAAAAAAGTCAATAGTGAAATAATTTTTTCTACATATTTTTCTAATATTTACTGAAAGCATTTGAGGTTTATCAAGGAAGAATTGCTGTTCTGGCAAGATTTATTTGCGGGCGCACTCATCAGTCCCACTTCATCACAATATGTTTTTGATGCACCGCGCTGAATGTCGGAACAAAATTTCCACTTGGTAGGACAGGTCTGCATGGCACTTTGGTTGACCCAGCTGCAGCAAGTGCAGTGAGAGCAACGGTGGGCGGTAGTCAAACCCGCTGTACAGAAGACTGCATACGCGGTAGCAGTTACCTAATTCACTGCTTTGACACCAAGGAAAGATGAACCAAAATACGGAAGAGATGCTGCAGGAGCATCATGCCGCTATTTCTCCTATGAAATACGATGCGGACCACGGTGCGGATGGTTCTCCCAAGGTGCACCGTCCCAAATCATGCGGCCCCAAGCCCCAGCCATCCTCAACGATGAGACCTCACATGAAAATAATTGTATATGGTCAAATCTGTTTGGGGGTCAAATCTCTATAGGGGCAACGACATGGGATGGGCGGTGAGGCGCGCGTCAAGCGCTTGCTGCAGCGCCTGACTCCCACAACCGTTCACACAAATTTTTGAACGAGGTAGCTCGCGACCGCGCGCTTCGAACATTAGTTGCTAGTTAGACGTCAGTGAGGATGGATGCAACAGAGTTTGAGCTCTGAGCCATTGTTCTCGGGTATGCTGCTGTAATTACATTCATGGTCTCTATAGGCATTCACGGTCTCTATAGGCATTCATGGTCTCTGTAGCCATTCATGGTCTCTATAGGCATTCATGATCTCAATAAAGATCAATCAGCCTCTCTATTAGAGAGCGAGTCAAAACGAGTGTGGCGTTAGTTAACATATTGTTGTTAGGGACCAGCGTATGCAGACAACTTCGCTATACCACAGACAGCCGTATACTGACGTTCAGAGTGTTCAGACTTCAGTGTAGCGCTTGTGTTGCATGAGGCAGGGCGACTGGGAATCGCTAGCTTGCCAATCTCGTCGTTGTCCAAATGAAGCGATTGACGTCCGTGTGTTGCCCCTAGTGTAAACGGGCCATAAAGCGAATGACTGAATTTCAGCTGAAAACTTTAATGGGGTCGCTGTGAATTGCCAGTCAACTTTTTCAGTACTGCTACTATGGTGTTCAACACAATACGGCTCCTATCAGTCGTGCAAAAAAGTGAATACTACCATACCCATCTGCAATGGCTGCCAACCGACGATTACGAAGTTAACTTTTCACTAATATTTATCTAAGGCACAAAGATAGATTTTTCAAGAATCGTGTGATCGAATTTTACTTTGTATTTATTTTGTAAGTCAACACTTTAACAGGAAGCTGAATTATTCAGCGTATTTCTGTAAAGAATCCCAATATTATTAAAGTGCTCAACCGCCACGACTACACCGCCACACAGAGTACACTTACGCGTACATACAAAAGCGGTTGAGTTCTTCAGGGAGTTTCGGGCAACCTCAAGTTCTGGCTGACGAGCTCAAGGTGGCATGATCCATTTAAATATTTGATTATTTCCTTGCGAGTGCATTCTTCTCCAACATAGGCGTTCTTTGATTATGCATGACAGCTAAGCCAAGCTTAAGTTGACTTGATTCATATTTCTCTACTTGGGATAAAAGGGACTGCTTATTATTAAAGAACTGAATCCCAGGATATAGGAAAAAGGAAAGGGGCGCGCAAATAGGTCTTATCGCCGCCAAATATTGATTTGCACCTGCAGCTGCCTCCTACCATGCCACACATCGCAGGTGCAGGTGAGCTACTCTTCCTCGCTCAATCTTTGCTCTCATATTCGCTCCACTCCAGCACTGCTCTCACGCTTGCCACACTGCAGGCCAAGCTTACATCTTGTCGAATGTTTCTTCACAGTTATTGGTATAACATTGATTCAGCAGGAAAATATGTCGTAAGATGTATATATTTCAAGATTTTTCTGCATGCAATTCAATTCGACTGACATCTCGACTGACATATTCGACTGACATCTGTTGCGTTTCAGACGCGCCACTTCGGGAACGGTTGCCATCCGAAGGTGTTAAGGGCAGCACTGCAGGCTGCAGCCGCTGCTCTGACTCTTGCTGTCCCTGGTATTGCAGTTTCTGCAGGTCATTTACCTATTATTCAATAACTTACAAAATGTATTGCTATAACTAACTTTCAATCATTTGCCAAAAGGCCATAACTTTAAATAACTTATCAAAAGGTCATTGCATAAAATGAATGCTTCGACATATCTTTTTACCACATGCAATTTTCCGAATGCATGAATTCGAGAATGTGAAAGAGTGCATTATTAGCTGTTGCTCTCAATCAAGTAGGGAATGAGTAAAGCACTCATCCATCATCCACACCTGAATAAAGGAATTATTTAGTTAGTTACATTGAAAAATTAAATTATCTACATCGGGACACAAGTTTTTGTAAAGATTAACCATCCGATTACGGAAATTTGCGTAACTCCTTCCTAAAATGGGATAATGACGACCACATTACCGCGGGTCGGTTATCGGAAGTATTCAGAACAATTTTAGATATTATTAATTTTTTCATGAATGAGCCCAAAAGTATCAAAAGTGTATTCAACTATTATACAAAACCCAATAAAAAAATGGATCTAAAATATTTAGAGCGTACCTTATCTGAAAACTTGAACTTAAACTCGGTTCCTGGTGACGAAATTTATTCGTTTCGTTGATTTTGAATAAATGTTCTTGCCTGAGCTGATATTACGTAGTTTTGATTTACTGTCATACTGATTAGGATATTGCTTTATTTCCAACATTCGGCGATCCCACTTTTCCAACAAGCTACCACGCAATCAACGTATGAAAGTATTTTGCAAATTTTGGAAGGCTGCAAGCTTTTCATACCCACATCTCAGAACTGGTATGATTTTCAGACATTGTTTTGGCGGTGGTCATGTCAGATGTTCAAGAATTGTGCTGCTACTGTTGGTGTTACTGGTGTTGCTGGTGTTGGAAAGCGCTTTGTTCTACGCCACTACAGCTCCCTTATATTCCATAGAACCCTCCAGCACTGCGTCTGTCAAGAACAGCGAACAGTCCCTGAAAAAGGTGCGGCTTCATATACAAGTATCATTTCCTTAGTCTTCATAATTAGGGACCATGAAAAATCGTGAAATATGAATGAATGTTTTATTACGGAGAGAGAGTGCTAACAAAACGGGTAACAGGATTCATGTTACGAGTTGGTTTGAATTATTTATTAACTCTCTTACTCAGTTTGAGATTAGGTATTTCGTGACATGATTGTTATATTTTAAGGAACGAGACTCGCATCGCAGCAGCGAGATTCCTCCCCCGCCATCAAGCGAGACTCTCGGTGACGCGTCAGCAAGACTCCAGGACATCAATAACAACAGCGACCGCACTATTTACACCCAAATCATTGGCATAAATGACATCAAAATTGATCACAGCGTCAACAATAGTGGAAGTTCCATACCCGAGGGAGACTTAGATAGAAAAAGCAATAACAAATCGGGCAATTTGACAGGTGAAGAGCCAAATTTGAGCGCAGTGAGCGGAGAGCCGCTGCCTTGCTTAAATGTGCTGCCAAACCTTGGTGAGTGCTGGGGCTGTCGTAAATTCTTTACAATTTTAACGTTCTTCACGACTCTTTCATTGATCGATCTCCTGACAAAATTACTATCCTGCTATATATGAAAATATATAAATTAATTATAAAGGGGTGAAACGCTCAGAATTTTCATCAACGGAGTGTAATACTGAAAGGTGTTTAAATACTACATCACTGTTGCGTTTCTGATATTCATGGTGCAAGAGGACAATGTAACAATTCGCGACAGTTTATCATGAATCGCCGCCCTCAGGTTGTTTCCTATTGTTGAAGTAATCATATTTTTTTGTAACTTTTACTGCGAGTTGTCGTTTTTTTCGTAGCTTTTATGTTCCTTACCGTAGTTCCTGTAACAGCACCCGCCTCTGGCACCGGTCTCGAGTTTGTGTCTTCGGCTGAATGCAAGTTCGTTCCGCTCCTGCTGTGCTGAAATTAACTTTAAGAAAAAGGACTACATTGATTTTTCTCACACAAATCTATCAAGATATTACCATAGAGTCTAGCAGTAGAGCTCACTATGTTGATTACGTACGGTGAGTAGAGCTTACGACCAAAATGCCGTCGCTCGAGAAGTTTCGCCCATGGACGTTTGTAACATAAATATGAAAATTACTTCTGCAAAACCTGAACCTTCAAGCTTAAATTATGGTACAGAGTTGAGTTACAATTGTACATGGAGCAGTAAATGAAGACGTTCTGAGTGGCCGGATGCTGTTGAAATATATAAAACCGATATAAATTAGCGAATTTGATTGTTGATGATGTTATTGGACTTGTAATATTGATTAGGAGCTGCGAAGGTGTAGTTAGCCGTTGAAGAAATGATTAGGAAATTTTTTGAAATTCTAGGGCAAGAAGTGATGGTATATTGACATGAGACTGCAGCACAAAATGACACTGCTGAAGCTGTCATTAAGCCTTGAAGTGCATTACAGGAGGACCAGTCGCTGTGGACACTTCTTCAGCAGACCTTGCGGAGGAAGAGCGGCGGCACCCCGAGCTGCTGCTGGGGGGCCGATGGCGGCCGGTGGAGTGCCAGGCTCGGCAGAAGGTGGCCATCATCATCCCATACAGGTTATAGAGGGCAGAAGGTGGCTAAGGTGGCCGTCATCCCATACAGGTTATAGAGGGCAGAAGGTGGCCATCATCCCATACAGGTTATAGAGGGAAAATGCCATCATATGAAGAATATCATATGAATATGGGACTAAAAACGGCTGATTGCGGCTTCGGAAATTTATTTAGAGTGTTCAATAAGTTGGTCATAAATAGACGTTACAAGTAAACAAATTTGTTCCTTCCTTTCTACTAGTCACAAATTATTTTTTTTTGATTTAAACATCATGTTCATCGCCGTCTTTTTTAATTTACCAATTAAGAACAATTTCAAATTTATTTGCAGGTCTCGTGCCTCACAACTGCCAATATTCATGCGTCACATGCACCCGTTCCTGCAGAAGCAGCTGCTCGACTACGGCATCTTCGTCGTGGAACAGGCAGGTGCGCGGCCCTGATAGTGTACATCTAACGCGCACCTATCTTATACCTGGGACTGAACATTTAAATGCGCATTTTCTTCTTAGCCCACAGTCCATTCACTTCAAAACCATTTTGATCCTAATGAACCATCTCTCCTTATAGTAAATATATCGCTATATTATGCTCTCGGGACTTAGGATAACACGTTAATATGATATGTATGTTTAAGGAAATGAATCGTTCAACCGTGGCATGCTTATGAACATCGGGGCGCTGGAGAGCGTGAAGCTGTGCCCCTGCGAGTGCCTCATCTTCCACGACATCGACCTGCTGCCTGAAGACGACCGCAACTTGTACGCCTGTCGAGAGCAACCTCTGCATCTGAGCGTCGCCTACAACACATTCAACTACAAGTGAGTCTCGAAATATACACCATGGATTACAAGTGAGTACCTCGATCTACATTCTACAGTATGAACTACAAGTAAGTACCTCGATCTACACTATAAACTACATGTGAGTACCTCGATCTACGGCATAAACTACACGTGAGTACCTCGATCTACAGCATGAACTACATGTGAGTACCTCAATCTACGGCATAAACTACATGTGAGTACCTCGATCTACAGCATGAACTACATGTGAGTACCTCGATCTACACCATAAACTACACGTGAGTACTTCGATCTACATGCAGTATTACCTAAAATTGAGCGCCGAAATGAAGACAATGAAGACAATAATCTATCAGTTAGTCTCGCAATCTTAGCCATGATTACAGAGTCTCGTAATGTACATCGTTAATTATAAGTGAATTAAGAGGCTACAACTTAGTTGTAGTCGGTTATAAGTCTAAGAAGAGTAGTCAGAATAGGCAGAAAAACTGGAGACTAGAATGATATTACCACTCATGCAATTCATCAGGTGACTAAGCTGCTGTTCAAAAACATATTTATTCTAGGCTACCATACGAAGACTTCTTTGGTGGCGTGAACGCAATATTAGTGGGACACTTCCGGCAAGTGAACGGCTTCAGCAACAAGTTCTGGGGCTGGGGCGGAGAAGATGATGATTTGGCCAACCGCATTAAATACCACGGGCTGTCCATCTCCCGCAACCCCGCCAACATCTCGCGCTACACGATGATCAAGCACGAGAAAGAGAAACCCAATCCTCACAGGTTTGAGCCAACATGCTTACCTAAATGTTAAACAAAATCAATGAATTTCAGCTAGACAGGGCGTCAATATTTGAGTGCTTTTCGTTTGGGACAATGCCGTGAAATCCACGCTTACATCTTGCATCGGCCAGTTTCTGTCGTCGAGCTCGTGTTGCATGTAAGGGAATCCCTGTAGCTCCGTTGGCTCTCGGACAACAGACGCTTATCAGGTGACCCATGAATGGCCAGCAGTATTAGGAACAAAAACAAGCTCCGGCCGAATCAGTGACATTCCCACGGATCGTCTGTGCTCGAGCCTCAAGTATTTTGGCTCCTCTTGCTCTGGCTCCAGTCGATGCGCCCAGTATTATGTATCAGCTTAGTGCCCAGATACAGAACTAGAAGCAAAATTGCGCCTCGACTTCCAGAAACTCCAATTTACATAATTTAGTATATATTTTCAAAGATTCTGTACTCAAAGCGATGTTGCATCTCAGGTTTGAAATGGTGCGCTCGGGCCAGGGCCGCTTCACCTCAGACGGACTCAACTCTGTACAGTACCGCGTGCTGGATGTACAGCCGCGCAGACTGTACACCTGGATCTACGTTGAGCTCATGAAAGTATAACGGCTGGTCCGTAAATGTTGAGTGCAGCTCTTTTCCTAGCATAAGTTTAATTATTTTTTAGTTGTTTATTAATTTTAATTTGTATTAAAAGCACTTGATTGCTTAAATCGCAAGTTTATCAAGAATTTAAAAGCAAAGAAAATAGCCAAAAATTCACCATTGCTTATGAATGAAAAAGTTTCAGAGTCCAGCTCCACCGTCAGTTCAAAACCTATAAGACAAGCAGAATCAATTAGAGAACTAAAATTCGCATTGAAGATAAAAACATAAAGTGACATAAAATAAAATACACATGAATGGACAGGCCTATATATTTACATATATATCAAAATAGAAAATCCTTTTCTATTTAGAAAAGACCTTTCTAAATAGAAGTAGAAATTCTAAGACCTTTTTAGTAAATAGAAAAGCCTTTTCTATTTTCTAATTTTTTTTTCTTTTGTCACTTTATGTTCTATCTTCAATGTGAATTTTAGTTCTCTAATTGATTCTGCTTGTCGCATAGGTTTTGAACTGACGATGGAGCTGGACTCCGAAATATTCTCATTCATAAGAAATGGTGAACTTTTTAGCTGTTCTCTTTGCTTCTAAATTCTTATAAGTTGTTACGAGAACCGGTCAGCAGGACCTGTCGCTCTGATGACATTTATTTTGTTTCAATATTACGTAATTAAATTGAAATAAGAATTTATTTTTTATTCACTTTGTTATGTTTTATGTGTAATATTTATTCGTTAATGGCAGAATAATATTACCACGAGCAGACAATCGGCACTAGAACGCTGCACGAGATGAAAATGGCAAACGTGGAAGACAACAGTTGGAAAAACGACGGAAATTAATACAGATTTATTTTGCTTTCTCATTGTGACCTTATAATGATTATTCTATACGTGGGAGAATGATCGAGAACATATAGTAACGGATAAGAAAGTAACGTGTACAAATGTGCGTATACTCGTACATGCCCTGACAGGACCCGTGAGTAAAGACTTGGCAGGCTCGTCCTCAGAGTTCATTTAGGTTTCTGCCGGTGTATGTACTGCAGCCCTTGAGAAGGTTTTTATCTCGATTGGCTTAATTTGTTCAGGCCAACCCCTATCAAACTCTCAGGATACTATTTAGGTAAAAGTTTGCCAGCTGTGATATTCATGGAATGGGGTTTTACAAGATTCGGAGTTCCTTTGTACGAAGCATATTTTTAACGTAAGTACCGTTTTTGAGTTAAGCCGCCGCGCGGCACTGCGGCCTTTGTTTAGCAGAAAAGCGTCGTTTAGTTACATCTGTTGTGAAGCCATGGACTTACGCCATCACGGAGTTTGTAAAGGATGGGACACCCGAGAGACCAGCCTGAGCCTATACTTGAAAAAAAAGTTTATCAGCCAATCATTGACGGCCTTTTAAGCAAAATCCACCAATAATAGACAAGAAAATAGAGTGTAAGTACTTACGTTCACTTAGTCAGTTTTGAAAGTATGGCCTCTGCTGCCTGACGCTCCGCTTGTTATTCTTGGAAGAACCTATTCCAAGTGAGGCTGGTTTCGTTATCGTGCGTGTGTTTTATATTTTACTTTTTGTTGTTTGTTACTCAGATGCATTTCAATTGCAGATTCCATAAACAACAGATATTGTCTGTTTTTGCATGGTAGTTATGTTGCGTATATATCTTGAGTAACATCATATCAGCTCCTTTTCTTCTTATTGATATTTTTACTGCAACTTTCAGGACGATGATGCCACTTCATTACTTATTAGGCCCATGCGATTTTTTTACACTTTGCGTATTTAGTTATTATCATTGATGCTCATAGGAGATTAACTAAGATATCCAGATCTTCGTTTTTTAGTTATTGTTCTTCGTAATCCTGGTAAGCGTTTTGGACGAACAGTCCCAAAGGTGGTCGAAGACAACACAGGAGGCAGGGCCTCCAGTAACCTTACAGATGAACACGTAATTATTATAAAAGAACACTATTATTTATCTCAAACTTCCCCAAGAACTTCGCTGCGAGAAGCTATGCTCGAAATTCAATGACTGAAATAAAATATTCAAACCATGCAATTATTATAGAAAAAATGAAATCTAATCAAATTATGCTGGATATATGTGGACAGGCGCTTTTTTATACTGTGCACATGGAGACAGGCGTTCTTTTGTGCTGGGTACATGGAGACAGGCGTTCTTTTGTGCTGGGTACATGGAGACAGGCGTTCTTTTGTGCTGGGTACATGGGGACAGGCGTTCTTTTGTGCTGGGTACATGGGGACAGGCGTTCATTTGTGCTGGGTACATGGAGGCAGGCGTTCTTTTATGCTGGGTACATGGAGGCAGGCGTTCTTTTATGCTGGGTACATGGAGACAGGCGTTCTTTTGTGCTGGGTACATGGAGACAGGCGTTCTTTTGTGCTGGGTACATGGGTACAGGCGTTCTTTTGTGCTGGGTACATGGGGCCCGGCGTTCTTTTGTGCTGGGTAAACATGGAGACAGGCGTTCTTTTGTGCTGGACACATGGAGACAGGCGTTCTTTTGTGCAGGGTACATGGGGACAGGCGTTCTTTTATGCTGGGTACAAGGGGACAGGCGTTCTTTTCTTACTCACATTTCATGAAGCAGAAACGAGGTCAGCAAATAATTGTTAATATCAATATAGGGCATGAAGTATTCCCAGGTAATCTAGTATTCATTGGAATGTGATGTACAAACAGAAGGCAGCATGACTTTCAGATGTATTTTAACAGCACTTCTGTACGTTTTGTACGCGTGCGGCGTGTAGTGTTCGGTCGGAGCCTCGGGGCGCGCGTCGTAGCTTGGGTGGGTCACATTGACCGAATTGTGACTCACTTGCTGCGTGCAGCCCTGGTACGCATTTTTTCGTACTAAAATGAGTCAAATTGACCCACATAATGGTAGAAGTGCATCGCTTATTTGGACAAAGACTTTTCAATTTTTCTGAGCGTTGTGTCAGTTGGTGCTACTTGTTCGAGTAGTGACCGTAAAGATTATTATTATTAATATTAATCACCAATAATTATTATTGTTTTTATATGTATTCGGAGGATTAATAAAATTGTCAAGTAAGTTAGAAATGCACGAATACAGTAAATGTATGAATCCTATCCATGTCCATATAGTGAAGCAGGCGATTGTTTGATAAATGTGCATATTTTGTGTGCACTGAACTCTAAATCGACGAATTTTAATAACTACAGAATAATACAGATCCCATTTAATAATATAAGAGACCACAGAATTATACAGAGAATCTAGAATATAACAGATTTTATAAAATATAACAGAGACTATATAAATATAATGTTCATCAAAAAGTTGCGTGCTCGGCTTCGTCGTTTGTAGGCAAAACGTTTCTACTGAATTAAGTGATGTGGCGACGTTACCGTTGTGGCGACGTTATGGATGTGGCGACGTTATGGATGTGGCGACGTTACCGTTGTGGCGACGTTACCGTTGTGGCGACGTGACCGTTGTGGCGATGTAATCGGCATTTATGGTAAAATAATATGACATTTTTTCTCATAGGCTTGAGTAATATTAATAGCGGTGCCAGCGTTGACTAGGCCGTTAGACCTGACGCCGGTTCACAACATCGCAGAATTTTATACTGTAGTTCTTTATAGGAAATAACAGCGTCACCAATCTTCGTTGTTAAAAATTAATTACTGCGTGGAAAGTCGCAGTATTGATCAATATAATAATAAATATATATTAACAATTTAAACAAATATTAAAAATTTTTAACCCGACACAATGGGGGGATATTGCGTTTCAACGCATGTTGAAACTAAAACGTGAAACAAATTGCCGGAAAGTGCCTTCAAAAGTCGGGTTTTAGAGAATTTCAACATGCTACTTAAACATTTTCTTATTTACCTAAGTATGTCTTAATTTTTTTTACTTACCTAAGTATGTTTTACTTTTTTACTTGCCCAAGTATGTCTTACTTTTTAACCTTTTACATGCTAGCTCCTTTATTTTAACCTTCAACATGCTTGTTGAACATTTTTTCACATCCCTATGTAGGTCTTGCATTTCAACATTTAACATGCTATGTTGAACAATTTTATTACATGCTCAAGCAAGTCCTACTTTGTAACCTTCAACAAGCTTGTCGAGCATTTTCTCACTTACTTAAGTCATGCATTTCGAACTCCAACATGCTAGTTCCTTTATTTGAACCTTCAACATGCTAGTAGAACATTCGCTAAGAAATATCATGTCATCGCAATGTCCCATTTCAGAAGCTGAAACAATCGATGAGTTTGCTGTTCATTTCAGCGCTGCATCAAGTCACGCGATGCGAACATATAACTGATACGACTTAAAGTGAATAACAATAACCAAGCTTTATTCATTTAATTTGCTATATCATTTGATGAAATTGATTTAGTTTCCATTGTCTTCTAAGCCATGATATTGGCCTCTTTAGTAACGAAAATATTCATATTATATAATATGGAAAAATTGTTTCAATTGAATATTTGAATAACACAAAACTACAAAATGGTAAACTTTTTTGGTACTTAACTTTTTAATAAATAAGATCATGAACATGGTCAGGAAAATAATTGAGATAATTTAATATTCAAAGTATTAGATTTCTAATGATACGAATAATAATAATATGCACAAGCCGTAGCTTTTACCATTCATATTGGAGTCAAAATATATTAGTTTTTTAGGAACGCTTACCTAGAGCAATATATTTTATCTGAAAATAACTACTTATATATACAAATGGCAATTAAAATACTAATGTATATATTGAAAAATTTTACATGACGCGTCAACAAAAGTTATTAATTATAAATTTAGAAATTATTAATGCTGCGCCTGATCGTGAAAATATATTTATTTAAATGATATTGTTTTGCTATAGAAGAAAATCAATTTCCTTCAAGTTTTTTCGCCTTCAGTAAGGTACAATAATTCTAGGTACGTCTACTTGTAAAAAATTCATCATAGCGTATAACGGCAGACCATTGGAACGAATTCAAATCTAATAAATACGAATTAACTTTTCCCGGCATGAAAAATATTAACAGTGGCTAGTTCTTGCAAAATACTGTACCTTCTGCAGAGATCGTGAACTGTAAAATGCAATTTACAAAGTTTGGTTCGTGTGCTAATCAATAAAGATTAGCGCAAAAATAAATATAAAAGGAGAGTTCCCAAGAATGATCTAGCGGTACAGTCTCCAGGTAACGTGAATGGAATGATCGCTATGACTGAAATATGACTATCGACGCTTGATTTGATTGGTACTATTCCCTAACATGCGATGAGCTCAGGGTAGAAATGATGGACTCAGGGTAAAAATGATGAACTCAGGTTAAAAATTATGAACTCAGTGGAAAAATAATGGATCTGGGGTAAAAATGACAGAGTAGAAATGTAGGACAAAAAGAAAAAGTGATGGACTAAACGTAAACATGTCGGACCAACGGTAAAAATGTTGGGCTAGAGGTAAATATGATGGACTGAAGAGGGTAAAAAAAAGGATTCAGAGTAAAAATGTTGGACTAGAGGTATAAATGATGTACTGAAGAGGGTAAAAATAATGGATTCAGGGTTAAAATGTTGGACTAGAGGTTTAAATGATGGACTGAAGGTAGAAATAATGCATTTAGGGTAAAAATAATGGGTTAAGTGAGCTCAACGAAAAATGAATCAAGATCACTCCAGCTCAGGTGGACTTAAGGTCTCATGAGTCAACAGGTTCTGTGGGTAAATCGATAATACAAGTCTGTGCGCAGTTAACTTTCTACTTTTAAGTTAAATAAAATGATACGATTCCTTGATTATGTTTATGAACTCAATATAATCAGTATCGTCTCAAAAATTTTTGGACCACATGTACGAATAGGGTATGGATTAAACTCACAATACAATAATTAAAGAATAAAGTGTAAATATTTAAGTATATAGCATGTAAAGTGTTAGGAAGTGAAGAATACCACGCTGCCATGCGCCTAGAATATGTCATCACAAAAAAATTATTGCGCCGAAACGTTTTTCATTCGAATGTGCCGTATATTTGCAATTCAGAATTAAGAAGTCTTGAATAGAGCGGTTATCTCATAACTTTTCTTACAGTTCTCTTTTCATCGAAAAACTATTTAATGTTATCATGTTTTAGGATTGGTACAATATAATTAACGAGTTTCGCCGAATAACAATGCTGGTACCGACTTCGGCCGTCACGCAAGTGAACGTTTCATAGACTTTTACGGTCGTACTGT